GGCTGGTTGGCCACCAGGAAGCGCCTGAGCCTTGGACCAGTGGGGAGGAGACAAGGGAGAGTGAGCCAGATGCCGCAAGGGAGTTGTTCCTAGATGCCCGGCACTGGAGAGCTAATAGGTGTAAGGAACAATTACACAATTATAGGCGGTAATTGCACTCAGCTGGTGGTGATTAGGCTCCTCTCCAGACTATAAAAGGATTGCTTGTGCACACACCCTTTTGCAGAAGTCAACGCAGGAACTAATGTCGGAGAACATTATTGTGAGCTTGGCAGGCTGGATTGCTGCCACGGCTTATCTGTGCCGGTTTGCTGCCAAGGACTTGTCTGTCTGTTAATTAAATGCCATAACTTATCTTTGGCTCAGAGTGTGTGTTGGTGTGGGACGAGGGGGGGCAGAACACATGTCAGTGTCTTCAGATTAGCACTTACAGAAGAGTCCCAAAAAAAGAGATCCTACAGAATAGTGAAGAGAGCCTCCAGTCTGTGGAAGCAGGATGATGGAGATCTTGTTGAGGTTCACCAAAGCTCAAGTCCAGGGGAAGAGGGATCTTGAAGGACTTCCAACCCTTATGGCTCCCTAAAGAAATCCACAGCTTGGAAGAGAGCTCTTAATGGTGTACTCAATTCTTTCCGTAATCCCCAAGGTCGATTTTACATTCCTTCATAAAACTAAATGTCAACTCGCGCCACATTCCTGACCTGCTCTCGAGTGGCCATAAGGCAGGGGGGATGGGGAATCGGAGCCTCGAAGCTGAATCGAGGAACTTGCGTTTCAGTCAAAGCAAAGCACATTCTAACGTCAAGGTCATCTCCACGCAGACCCACAGTGGCCGGAGGGAGTGACTTCTACAACCCGCGAAATTGCTTTGTTGGGGAATGTGACTGACGGCACACCTTGGGGGGGGGGAGAGGAAACAGGGTCAGAGCCAAGGTGTGAATTAAGTGAGGTTAGAGTTGGCTTCCCTTGGAACGTGGCCGACATGAAGCTTCTAATAAAATAACTGGATTTCTTTTGAAGTTTGGCTTGAGGCTCATGTTTTAATTAGGGCATCGGTTGGGACCCTGACACCAAACTTGGAAGCCCTGAAACACCCAGAGGTGATTACATAACCCTGCCTTATTTAGCTTAGGCTTCAGATCAGATTGACTGGCACTATCAAGAATTGTGACTTCAGGAACACGGGTCCAGGCTGTAGCTCTCTATTAACCTCTCCTGATTTGACGCGACTAACCTTCCTGGGAAATCCGCTTGACCAGCTGGTTGAGGTGATCAACGAAGACTTTCTTCTCGCTCTTCATCATCCTGGTGAAGCAGACCCTCAGAGCTGCTGTCACGCCACGGGGGTCATCTCTCCCACTTCGTTCCAGTTGTTCCGCTGCTACGTTCCCGATCAGAGCTCGAAATTCAGGGACATCTGTAGAAAGGCCAGAGAGATGATGGGAGTCCACCCTAACGGCTGGTCTTCCATTGTCTCTTGGAATTATACAGAAGACAAAGTTTAATAAATAAAGTTTAATAATAATAAGTTTCAAAGTTTAATAAATGTATATGCTGCCCAATCCTGAAGGACTCTGGGCGGCTTACATAAAAAACAATTTAAAAGAATACTAAAAAAATTAAAATAGAAAGACAAGGCAAGTTAAAAAGACACAACATGCCCTCAACCTTAGTGGGGGCTGGACCTCATTCAAGAGGTCAACAGCCCAGGCCTGCCGGAAAAGCCAGGTCTTAATAGACTTTCGGAAGGCCGCGAGAGTGGGGAGGGTCCAGATCTCTGGGAGTAGATTGTTCCATAGGGCCGGGGCAGCTACAGAGAAGGCCCTCCCCTGAGGAGCCGCCAGATGACATTGTCTAGTTGACGGCACCCGGAGAAGGCCCATCCTGTGTGATCTTATTGGACGCTGGGAGATATGTGGCAGAAGATGGCAGAAGACAAGAGATGACTTTGGTGGAGATAGCCAATCTCCATCATCATCATCATCATCATCATCATCATCATCATCATCATCATCATTTCATCATCCCTTGCAGGGTGGAGTCTGGGCAACTGAACGGAGCTAGCAGAATGTTTTACTGGCCAGATGCCCTTCCCTGTCGCCAATGAGGAGTTTTGTTCAGCAGATAATATTCTCAATGTGCCCGGAGAGAGAAATATCTGCCTCTACCTAGGATCGAACTAACAACCTCCTGATTGTGAGGTGAGAGCTCCACCTTACCGTACCACATAGCCGATTTCCATCAAAATAGTTTTAGCCTTCCTGTGGAATGGAGCTCATGGTGTAGTCTACCTACCGAGGTTGACACCAACTGGGGAAAACAAACTCTTTGGAGAGAGGGGGACTCTTAAGTGCTAAGAGTTCACTGCATATTCGTGTCCAGAATTCACATCTTTTCTACACTGAAAATTGAATATTTGAAGTTTCAGGGTAGGCGTGAGATTATATTGCTCTACTATTAAGGTAAAGGTAAAGATTTCCCCGCACACGCACGCTAGTTGTTCCCGACTCTAGCGGGTGGTGCTCATCTCCGTTTCAAAGCGGAAGAGCCAGCAATGTCCGAAGACGTCTCCATGGTCATGTGGCTGGCATGACTCAACGCCGAAGGCGCATGGAACGCTGTTACCGTCTCACCAAAGGTGATTCCTATTTTTCTACTTGAATTTTTTACGTGCTTTCGAACGGCTAGGTTGGTAGAAGCTGGGACTTACTCCGTTACGCAGCGCTAAGGATTCAAACCTTTCTGATCGACACGTTCAGTGTCTTAGCCACCAAGCCAATAATAGAGTCCCTAGGCTCTACTATTACTTTAACTCAAAAAAAAAAAGTCATTAACTAATCAACCAGAGAGGTACCCACAGTTCCAATGCGACGTTTTCCCAACGTTTCCCCAATGCAACGTTCTAAGTAAGAAACCTTCTGTCCAAAACTCCCAGGATCTACTAAACCAGATCATTTATCTTTCTAGGATTTATGGCCGGTGATCTTTTTCCTCTTTCCCATCGCCTACTTACGCTGGAGGAAAGCTACAATCTCTTCCACAGGCCGGAAACCGCACAGGCCTTCAAAGGGGGTTAGGGCAATGGCCAGCTCAGGCTTGTGATTGGTGTCTGGATAGTGCTCTGGATATTGAGCGTGAAGTTTCTCTGCCAGTTCCTAAGGAGAGAAGAAACGGGCAACGGGTAAGACCAGGGTCCAAGTCAGCTTTGATCACTGAGCTGATACCGGATTGTTTTCTGATCGATGGATCACAGAATCTGGGAGGGACCTCACATGCACAACAGGTGGACTAGAGAAGGGCAGCAACCCAATCTCAAAGGATCAGAAATGACCCAAAAGCAGTGGTGGGTTCTGGGTGGTACGGACCGGTTCG